TTGTTAAAGGAGTGGCAGTGGTCACCAGGGCCCGTAAGAGGGAGAGCACCTGGCTCCTAACATGGGAAATTATCACCAAGTGTTAGCTATTGTCTCTAGAATAAATAAACAAAACAATTACTGTTATTTTTGAACCCTTGAATTAAATGTATGCGAAAATAAAATCATCTCTTTAGTTGATGACATTGGGAACTGTTTGTCTAGGTAAGTCTGCCTATGAGCCCATAGATTCATTAATTCCCACAATGGCGAGGTCCTCATAGTTCATTAAGGTCAATCCATTATATTTATGGATGAAAATAAGGAGTCCTAAAGTTGTTAAGTAATTTTTGTCTCTTGACACCCATAGCTTGGTAGTGGTGAAGCCAGGACTTGAACCCAAGCATTCATGGAGTGAGAAATTAGGGCCTGAGAACCTAAGATAAGGGGTAGTTGAGACAGGAGTGGCTGGCAACGAGGAAAGAAAAGCATTCCCCCCTGTAAGGAGGCTTTGGCTCCAAACAGACATATGAAGGGACTCAGAATGTCCAAGAAGGACAGAGAAAGGGATCAGTTGGTCAATGGCAGAAGACAACTTCAAAGAAGCCAGCTTTCCCCAGTTTTATGAGAGTAAGGGTTTAACTCCCTTAAAAAAAACACTAGGTAGATGACAGGAAGGAAGTAATAGGGTAAGGACATCTCCAGGAGATCTGCTTTGGTGACCACCAAACGATCTCTCTGTGGTGCCACCATACCCTCAGTGAAGTCCTTGTGGCCCAACTTGCAATCCCAAGTTTTCCAGGCTCGTAAATTCATACCAGCACAGAAAAGGTGGATCAGTCTCTCATGGGCTATTCAAGTTCAAAGGTTGCTCGATAAGCTAGAATGCCAACCTGTGAATTTAAAATTCAATAATGAAAAATAAAATCGTTGTGGGTTCCGGGGAACTGCTCTTTAGGCAGCACTTAGTTTCCTTGGGAGAAGGCATTGTAGGAAGGCAGACGATAACTGGAAAGTCATATGAGGAGTACAGGTGGCTCAGACGGTTTATTATATCCCACTGGTTAATCTGATGCATCCACTTGAACAAGAGGAATTCTCCTGCATTAGGAACCGCTCACTCATTTCTGCATTCCTTCATCTGTTCATCCAGCATATAACTTTTATCTTATCCATTCAGATCACGGTGACACCCTGCTCTCTATCTCCTCAGTCCGTAGAATGGCCCCCTTGCAGTCATATTAAA